GGGGGACGGCGCTCCCCCAGCTACCCAGAGCCCAGCTGCGGCCTTCTCCTCCCATTGCGGCCGCCCGGCCACCCTGGCGTGCCCCTGCTCCCAAAGGCTCTGGCAGGCGTGGACACTCCCTGCCTGGCAGGAACCTCAGCTCAGCACATCCAAGGAGAACCCTCTCAAATATCACTTGGCTATTTCAAACCCACCAAGGACGCTGGACCCCTGCCACTGAGCCACAAATACCTCCACTCGCATGCACGCCCAGGACTCGTAACCAACCCGCCTGCAGAGACAGGTTCCCAGCAGAGGGTGGAGGGGGTCACAGGGGTCACAGGGGTCACAGCTGGGCGGGAGCACAGGGGTAAGGGAGCTCAGGGGTTCCCAATGACAAGGTCCTCAGTAGGGAAACTAAGGCTTAAGACTAGCAAGGTCATGGGACTCCATGTCCACTACACGCCCAAGTTCCTCACTGGGGATCACAGAGGGGTTTGGAATTTGGGGCAGCAGCCCGTGAACCTCCTGAAGTCATGTACAAAGTCTCCTTTGTGAGGAACATGCATTCTCTGGAAGGAAAGGCCATAGCTTCTATCACATTTCCCAGCCAAAAGAGCCAGTGCACCGTAACAAACTCCCTTCCCAGAGCTCAGGTACCTCTGCCAGGGACGCTGCAATTCACCCCTCAGGAACTTCAGCCTAATTCTCTGCTAAATTCAGTTCTTCAGTGAACAGGTATGGGCACACTCTGAGTCAAAAGCAAGCATCTTCCCTCCACTGCCTGGCTACAGGCCCTTTGACAAAGCATCTAAACCCCAAGTCTCAGTTTCTTCATCTGTAAAATGGGGATGAGACCTTAATAAAACCTGACCAACAGGCAGCGGTGAGGCCAAACCACAACCACATATTGAAAAAGCACTATGAAAAGTACAGCAGCATGAGAGCTGTGCATGAAACCATCACTGCTCTTTAGCACCTTCCGCTTCAGGGCCTTATCTGCTCCATTCATTTCTTGCCTCGAAAAGGAAAACACAAAATTAGCTCCCACAAGAAGGGGAAGGACTGCTGGTGGTTGAGAGGACACCAAAGGCACTTCTACCAACCACACAGATCCTGTGAAGAGGGTCGCCAGGACCCCCCTGGGCCCGCAGTGAGAGACACCATTGGCAACTGGGAGTGTCTGCTCCACAAAGGCCAGAACCAGACAAAAGTCTAAGAAAGCCCAATGGGACCTCACGGGCTTTCACCAACACTCTCAGAACCACTGCTCCAGCCAGAGGGGAACAGCAAGGAAACGACAGGCAGGGTCCCTGCGAGCCTCCTCCATGGCCTCAGGGCTCTTCTGACTATAGACAAATCAATTTCTCAATAAAGTCCACTCGGGGCACCAAGTCCCCCAGTGTTCCACGTTATACGTGGTCAGCATCAGGGCACTCGGGCTTATGAACAATGAGCCAAGAAACCCGAAGTTGCCAGATGTGTGGGAGAAAATAGATGGTGACTCAAATAAAAACTCACCAATTCAGAGAAAATTTAAACCCCCTCCCCGCTGAGTCATCTGGCTCACTCCAGGCCCGATCGCCTGGCCTTGGCCTGAGCAGAGCCTTTGAGTTCACCCTGATCCATCAACAACCTGCCAGAACACAAAACCACTTACTTCCATCCATGAGCCGAGGCCAGCATCTTCCGACGGACAGAGGTCCTCTCTGGCCCTTCGAGAATCAGGTACGCACTCCGCGTCCCTGCCCATCAAGCACTTACTACTTACTACCCATCGAGGCCCCAACCTGGTACCTGGGCCACACCGACTCCCCCACAAACCATGAGAATCTCTGAATCTCCTTGATCAAAAACGAAAGGCCAGTTACTGCACACTCTTATTTATACTGCACTTCATCTTCTATAAAGATTTAAGGTAACGAGTGAACCCACATTAAATTACCTGGCTCAAGATCACCCAGCAAAAATGAAGTCACCAAAAGAACACCCCTCCAGTGTTCCATGGGCTGTTCCAGACCAGGTTACTTACTGACCCCAAAGTACCTATTTTTCCTTTCCGATGTAGTTCCTTACTCCTTCATTTAATTAGCATGAATGCCTACTGTGTGCAAGGTATTGTGAGCTACAGAAATGAATAGCTCTGTGGATGAATGGTCTCTGGCATGGAAAAGATTAACAAGCTGTGGTTGCAAAGACAACCCTGAATGAGAAGTTAGTCAGAATACTAGTAGGTGTTGCCATGGCCTGTGAGGCCGAGCTGCTGGGTGGGTGGGTAAGAGAACTAACCAATTCTGGAGTCAGTTATGACCTGAGCTTAGATCCTAATTCTACCACCTACCAGCTGTGAATGAACCTCTCTGAGCCTCAGTTTCTCCACCTGCAAAATGGAGTTAACATGCCTTCTCTCCCAGGGTCACTGAACCTACAGCACTCAGCACAGGGGCCCAGCACATGGAAAGCCGCCAACAAAGGCTTTGTATAGGTGGTTTTTTATAGACATTGAGATTAAGGAGCAATCAGAGTGTACAGAAAACTATCCTGAAAATCCTCCACGACAGAGAACATAAAAGATGGACGGAATGTGAATGTGTAAGAGAAGCATGCGTTCCAGACAAGAGTCCAGAAAAGAGACTACGGCAATAATTCTAGCAGCAACAAATATGCACTAACTCGATGGTAGCCATGGGAATGCAGGAACACATGAAGATTTGAGGACGGTAAGAGTTCCTTTTCTTAATTTTCTTAAATAGTTCTTAATTTTCCATTTGCTTCTTCGTCTTCCCAGCAACTCAATGCTACCTCTTTAACTCCTTCACAAAAGAGACATTCCTTTCCTGTTCCCATTCCTCACTTCATCCCTCCTCCCACTCAATCTGACTTTCTCTTGGGCCACAGGTGGATTCCAATCCAAGAAAAAGGGTTTGGACCCTAAAATCTGCAAATCCCGGGCCTCTTGCTGGCGTCTTCTAAATGCCTCTGCCAACTTCAGAAATCACTACCACAATTCTGCTGTCATTTCTTAACAAACTACTGGGAGCAAACCCATGCAAGTTTCCCAACCACCATACCGTTTCAAGGTGGCAGACGGAACCACAAACTGCCAAAGAGGGTCTCACATTACTTACTAGAGCGCTAAACGCCGTTAAAAATCATTAGCCTCTCTGAAAGACAGCTTCAAAAGGTAGCACCGTCACCTATATCAAGAGATTGGCTTGAAATAGGCACACCTACCCATCCCCCCGACTCTAAAATAAAACCATTTGCATAGCAGTAGAAGACTGGCCACACAGGAACTGGCTGTCCATAGTTTTTTGTTTAAAGCACAAGACTTTTGCTAGGTGGAAAGGTCAAATTCACCAACTATTTTTCTATGACTAATGCACCTCTTAGCCTCCTCCTCCAACCTCCAGCTCCTGGATGTTCCCAGAACCACATCACAACGACTCTAAAATAAAACCATTTGCATAGCAGTAGAAGACTGGCCACACAGGAACTGGCTGTCCATAGTTTTTTGTTTAAAGCACAAGACTTTTGCTAGGTGGAAAGGTCAAATTCACCAACTATTTTTCTATGACTAATGCACCTCTTAGCCTCCTCCTCCAACCTCCAGCTCCTGGATGTTCCCAGAACCACATCACAAGGGAACGAGTCACCTCACCTTTCACTACGAAAAGTTTGCTCGGCCGTAAGTACCATTCGGCAGCTTCTCATTCTCAACCCTGGAGAGGGCATGAGAGCTGGTGAATTTCCTCGGCACTCCACTCCAAGGGCACTGACTTTTCAGTCACGGCAGAATTTCATCACATTGAATAGTCTCAAATCCAGGCCGCCTCCAGCTGAGCCTCTAACTCCTCGTGTTACAGGGAAAATTTTCACCATAAAGATATTCACAGTAATGGGATTTGCCCACTTGTGAAACTCAACCAGATGGGTTCTGGTCTCCTAGACCAGTTTCAAACTCTGCACGCAGGGGACACCATGGCCTGGCCAAGGGGGTGGGCCCCGGTGACGTTCAGAAAACCAACTTCCATGCCCCAGAGTTTGGGGACTATTCCTTCCACTTCATGCAGAAGCGTAAGACAAAAATAGACCGCCTCTTACGTGCGTGTGTGAGCATGCGCGCACGCACACACGCACACATACACTTAACCTTCTGCAAGGCCAATGAAAGCAGACTGAAAGGAGGCTGGGAAGACCTTCAGATATTTCCATCTCCCCCCAGAAGATCCTAACCTGTTTCATCTGATCAGAATGTCTGACACCAAGCCAGATTTGGAGCCCTTTTTTTTTTAGGGGGCTGCCATGTATGATGGGACATGGGGCAGGCATCTCTCCTATAAGCATCTCATACATTTCAAAAAACTCATCCAGGTAGACGGTGAATGATAGAACAGAAAGCATTACAATGTGATGACATTAAATATGTTCATAACAATATTTTGAACACAGGATTATGGACTAGCCAAGGACTTCAAAGTATCCATCATCTCAGTAGACACAACATGAGCCCCCCACCAAAACAAACATAAAACAAACACCCAAAACATAATTTCAAAGATCACTTCCTGGAGAGTAATGCGAAAGTCCATTTCACCAGATTCTCACTCAACACCCCTTCTACTCCAAAACACAAATTTCCTATTTGCTTTATTTTTCTTTTTGGCTGTGGTCCGTTTTTTCTTAAACCAACACCAAAGAGGCTCAGTCCATTCCCAGTTAACTGTCCATTCTGAACATAAACCGCACATGGTTGAGCCCTGCTCAACGCCATTTAATTCTTCAGATAGGTATCTACACACACTTTTGCATAATTACAACATTATGAAATACCATTCACCAAGTTAGAACGGGGCTGGGAGGAGGGCACAGGGCGAGGGCAGCAAGGAGGTGGGCAGAGAAGAAAGGCAAGGAGAAAACAAAACCCACTGCCAATTGGCTGTGTATTTGCTTTTGGTCCTAAAGAAGTTAGAGCTATCCAACCCTGTAATTATTGCCAGGATTAAAATTTTGTTACTCACGTAATCATGAAAGGCTTTTGCTTCACTTGAATGTTCACAAGTGTCTCGCCTTTCAGGAGCTGCACAGTAAAGGTCCCAAAATACGCTGCAAGTTGAAAATAAAATAAGATCAGATTACTAATTATGACTTGTGTACACAACGGCAAGTGCACAATGCTCAGTGTTAACAGCACCACGTCTCCCCAAGGCTCAACCCCCTCTTCTCCAGCTTTCATTGGGCAAAGTTGGCCTAGAAAACAAAATGGACCTAACCCCTCTTGTAGCAAACCAGCTATTTGTAATAAGAGTAATAGTTCTTATTTATCAGGCACCTACTGTGTGCTAAATGCCTTACACTTAAGACTCTGCTTGTGACGACCACAGTGCTTCAGACAGGAGATTCACCCCCACTTTATACAGACAGGGAGCACTGAAGCTCAGACACGTTAGTACAACCCACCCCTGGATGCCCAGGCAGACAGGTAGGAATCTGTATGAGAATCCCGGCGTCTGGTATGTGCTCCTTTTGTCGCACCCCTAACCCCAAATGGTTGCATTTAGTCAAAAGGTTAAATTGCCAAAGTCAGGACTATGATTCATAAGCATAGCAAACTGGGTGACTCTGCCCATAAAGGAAACCCACAGGTTCTTAATCCAGGAGCCCATACCCCCACTCTGCTGGACCTCACCCCCACTCCCAGCCAGGCCCTCCCCCAAGTTATTCTTATGCAAGAACCACTTCACCCCACCCAACCAAAGAACAAGTATCAGTTAGCCAAAGGTCAACCAGGTATCTCGTCCTTTCATATTGAAATAGAGAGCCCTCCTCAAAGAGGCACCTACCCACCGGTCCAGCAAAGGAGGGATGTGGAGGGGGTGGGGCGGGAGCTATCCCAGCCTCATCCCCCTCCAACTCTTCGTATTAAATGAGAGCATACGTACAAGTCCTTTACCGACCAGTAAAACCCTCTGCAAACACAGGGTCGTCACTGCCTTAACATGAGGCCTTGGAAACCCTCTCCAAGGCCCAGGGGTGGAAAGGAACTGAAGGGTAAAATGGGCACCAGCGCAGAAGTCTGATTCCTCCTACAGTGCTCCTGCCCCTGCTGCCAACAGCCAGCACAGAAGGAACCATCTCAGCCGCAGCCCTGCCAGTCATCAGGCAAGCATCTCACTCAAGGTGTATGAACGACACAGCACGGCCCTCTCTGGATCAGCTCCACCACTTCCTCCCACCCCGAAGGCCGTGGTCATCTGCTCAGTGTCAAATCACGAGGCACTTTCTAACAAGACCACGACCTGAGCCCAGAACCACAGGCAAGGCGGGAGCCGTTTCAGGAAGATTATGGATAGAACAGGAAAATCGGGACTTCGTCTAGCGCAGAGGGGGGGCTCGAGAACATTCCTTTCTGCCCTCTAAAGCTGCACATATTTGATTAACTCCTCCACACGCCGAAGATTTCTAACATTACAAACTCCCCAGTCCCTTCTAAGTAACTTTTACTCACAACCCTAGGTTTCTAATGGTCAGGCCCGTCACACCAATCCACACGCCTCTCCAAAAACCACCACAGAAAACCCATCACCCACTCCAACAGGTCGAATCCTTCTGCCACACCAAATGCCTCCAACACTGGGCAGTCCCGAGGTTGGCTGAAGTCATGAAAAACTCATTTCCCCTGCACAAGGTAGAACAGACACTTCATCCCCCTTCATTTCAAAGCGACCTGAAACAGTAACCTGAGCTGGCGGTCAGGTACACGCGCTAAGATCCCAAGACATGGCACTCCATTTTCCTGAACTCCACCAAAATATCAAAGCCCCTCTGCTCTCTTTTCCTTTTCAAAAGGATGTCAAAGACTCCGCACCGATCAGTCACACAAAACATCCAGGTCTTCCTCCACAGCAACCGGCTCCCAACTGGCTCCCCCTGACCTTAAGCCTCCCTTCAGCCTGCAGGCAACCTAAGACCAGACAGAGGGGGTCCCACACCAGCAGGACCCAGGGGCCTGGGGGAGGGTCACAGATAAGAGAGCCCCCAACGACCAACTAAGGGTGCTCTGTGAGGTCGACAGCGACAAGTTAAGGTTTTTCAGTAAAATGAAACTTTGTGGTTTTAGGGATGCTGGGAGGGGGAGCCCACAGAGGAGAGGAAGGTCCAGTCAGTCTGAATCAGTATCTTTAAAGGAAGTTGCACCCCCCTTCTTGCTTTTTCTCAGGGTGCCTGGAAAAGGCCACAATGGTCTCTCTCTCTCTCTCTCTCTCTCTCTCTCTCTCTCTCTCTGTTTTGAGTTCATAGTAAAAGAAAAAAAGAAAGGATAGGCCAGTTGTAAAACAGACCTGGTATCCCCCTCCACCCCACCCCACCCCCACTCCCTCTAATTAAAGCAGCATGCAGAATTGACAAAAATCCTTCAAGGTTTTTTGAGCCTGCCTAGTGGCCAGGAGTGAGATGGAAAAGTAAGGAGTTTCTATCCAAACACCAGGCATGATTTAGTAGGCTCTCAATAGGAGGGGAGAGAGGAGGCAAAAACTTCAGGCAGCAGCCTCTTCTGCCCTGTTCACACCGTCCTGCTCTGAGTGCCCCGCTCCGTGCACCCCGGAGGGGAAGGCTTGGTGGGGTCTGCTCCTGGCTCCCGCCTTTGTTCACTGGGACCAGACAAAACAAACACACACAAAACTATCACACAAACTTACCACCACCACGAATGCAAAAACCCAGGTGGTTCGCCCAACGTGATGTTTTTTTCCCATCGAATCTAGAGAGGAGAGAGCAGAGATCGCTTAGAGGAGCAGAGGGAAGGGGTGGGCCGGGGGCTTCCTGGAGCCAAAAGGCTGTGAAGACCAACTAACAATAAATGCCAAAAGGTGATAAAAATTCAAAATGGTGGCCACAGTGGCTGCTCCTGAAAACAAAGGCTCTCAGAAGAGTGGGGAGGAAGGGGTGTCTAGAAATTGGAGGACGGGGGGAGTCCCACTCACCTCTGACAAGAAGGTCTGTGCAGATTTCTGTGCTCCGACGTGCAGTAAATACTCGTAGACGTATAAAGCTAACCTGGAGCGCGGGCAGGGGGCAGAGAGAGGAAGGTGTCAGAGCGCAGGGCACTGCTCCGGACCCCGCCAGCGGCTCCCGGCCCTGCCCATGGGTGTCCTGGGACGCGGCACCGCAAACCGTGGGGACCTGGAGAGGAGCCCCCAAACTTGAACTTCCCAAGTGGCGTCGGGGCCAAACCCACCCAAGTCTCGCAAACTCGAAAACCACCCGATCCCATAGCTTCCCTCCTATTCGAGACACACTCCTGGCGACCCTCTGCCCAGCTCTCCGAGGGTCCGGGGACTCGGTGCTGGACTCCGGGGCGTCTGGTGCGCTCTAGAGTGGGTGCTTGATGCCGCCCTCACTACCTCCCCCCCCCCCCCAAAAAAAAACAACTGTCCCCCAAGCC